AATTTGGTCTGGGCCCGAGGTGGGCTTAATAGCCGGCGACTACTGTATTAGCATTCAAGTTGATGACTCGCTGCATACGGATTGTTGTCTCGATGACTGACTGACTGGCGACTGAATCGACTGGTCACCACGCTGACGACCCAGCGGTTGAAATCAATAATGTGAACGAACTGCTGAGGACACACTTGACTGCAGGAGGCGATATCGATTGAACTCTCTCTCTCTCTCTCTCGGTCAAGTAAGCACAGACAACGACCGCAATGAAACCGTTTGAAACTAGTGCGCTAAACCTTGGCTTAAATTCTGGGTCTTCCGTTGATTTCGGCAGAAAATGAAGATAGTTCTAAGGGTAGAATGTCGTTCACAATTGTCAACACTATAGTTCAAAATATCCGTCAGGCCGTGTGGGTATGTGTGTGACCCTAACTTTGGTGACGTGGCAGTGGTTCTCCTGTAGTTTGCCGCTAGAATGAACCCAAAAGTAATTGCGTGTAGGGGAAGGTTGTGAGGTCCCCGCAGGTGATGTTATGGAGAAGCACGCGCCTACTTTTCTGAGACTGACTCATCGTGGGAATAAAGGCACTACCAATTCTTTCCTGAAAATAATATATCACAAAGTATAGGGCTAGTTACGCCGATTTCAGAGTATAAAATTGGGTGAATACGTAATGTTTTACCAAATGAGTACAAGGAATATTTTCGTGCGCGTTTTCTATAGCATATATTTGACTGTATGAGGGCATATGAAATCATTCGATGAAAAACATACTACTTAAGTAGTCATTTTACCGATTATAGTTTTTTGAGGCGGGTGTGAGGAAACTCGTTCGGAAACCGGCTTCTTAACGTGACTGAAATATATAGAGATTAGGCTGCACGATAATTAATACTGCAACTCTACTTAAATAAGCTCTTCAAAACTAATACACACTGCAGAATTTCGGTGGACATTTCAGGAGATAGTAAATCTGCTGTAGGGGCCACCACGTGCACTGCAAGCATATCTGTAGGTTCGGCAACGGTTAAAATTTAATGAGATAATAAATCTACTGGAGGTACGTAGATTAATTGGGAAGGCTTTTTGCCCATAAACTGCTTAATGGGCTGAATGTACTCCGATCAAAATCTCGATTGCCTGGATCGCAATTTGGAATATGACTGGATGTTAACAGAAAATAAGCAAAGTATGACCATGCCGGTGTTGCTTTGTCGGTAATTCTTCTTGTCTATCTGCTCCGTCTTCTGACTTTTTGTGCGTGCGTAAGTCACTGGTTACCCTGTGCATTTATGTTGTTTTCGTTTCACGTGGATGCGTGTGCACTTTTAGTTCTCTCTTTCTCTAGCCTTTAAGTGCTGTTACTGTGGTTTCTTCAATCCGGCGCGCCGAGTTCGACGGAATACCCTGGTACCAAAGTTGGACACCTTCCCTAGTCCCACAGCTGCACCCACTCCCCTCACTACTTCTTCATCCTCCGAACTGAAGAGCCGACGCGTCTACAGTGCCTCATTGGCCAATCTAACCGCTCCGGAGACGCCAACTTCCCGTGTAGCCAGGCAAATGACTGCTTCTGAGGAGGACGTCTTCGTAGCGTCAAGGAAAGTGGAGGTGGTGGGGTCGGGTTCATTGTCACACTTGTCTTCTCAACCACCACCACCACCACCACCACCA